TGGATGTGAGTGTACGTGCTCAGAGAAAAATGAGAGGCATTACGTTCGTTCAAGAAGTTCAAAAGACCCGTTGAAAATAGGTCTATCACAAACTAAAAACCTTGCGCATCAACCAAGGTGAGGAATTCTTAAACCATAACTTCTCCAAATTTTGCGAAGAGGAAGTACCAAGCATCAACTCACTTTACTATACAATCCACAATAAAACGGTGTGGTCGAGCGAAGAAGTCGTACCATATTGAACACTACAAGAAGCTTACTCGAGAGTATGCAAGTCTCGATAATTTCCTGGGGCGAGGTAATAGGAGATGCAATCCATCTTCTAAACTGTTTACCAACGAAGGCGTTGGACACTCACACCCCGTACAAAACATGGATCGGTAAGACACCTCACTTCAAGAATATAAAAATCTTTGCTTGTGCAGCACATGTTAAGACTCTGCAAAGCCATATATCAAAATGCTTGATGACAGAAGCCAAAAGATGGTATATTTTCGTCACATTGGAATCGGGAGTTATAGCCTAGTTTTTTGGTTTCCTACTCTCGATTTTCATCCAAATTCGATAGAAATTCTCCACCATTTTTGTTCAAACTTGTTTCTAAGCCATCTAAACAAGATTACCCACAAGTTCTACAAAGGAACCGAGCGCTGAATGAGCCTAGAACCCATTCCCAGTACGTATGACCATTGAAGAAGTTCAAAGAAAGATCGAAAATCTAATCCGAGCATACACACAAATTCATCGAGCAAGACCAATCCCATTCGATTTTTTTCACCTTCAAGAACATTCTTGTTGTAGACCACGAAGAGAATTAACCTTAAGAACGTTTGTAATCGAAGAAAGTCAATTTTCGGTTCAAATTGGGGGTAAGTATCGAATTCCTATCTACGGTCTATTTTTCTTCAAATTGAACATTTCTTTAGTTTACGAGGATTGAGTTGAGTAATTTTGATAAGAAATCGAAAGTCAAAACGTCGTAGATCAAGCTGTCAAAGAAAGTTTAATTTGGTGTTTTCTGGTTATTTGCTAACCAAAGAAAATTTCTCTAAATTAAAGTCACACATTTAAAGACTTTCCTCCAAACCAATTCAATTAGCTAGAGGGAATAATAAAGAAGTGATTCCCGGAAAACCCTTAGAAATGGCTAGCCAATAAGCTTTTTATACGTTGAGCTCGGGTGAGGAAATCAATTATTGATGAACTTTGGAGGAGAATAACTTAACGTACAATCCATGGGAAGGTAAGACATCAATCCCCAAGTCTTCCCTGTGAATCAGTTTTTAAGTTTCTTGAAGAAATCGAGGGGGAGAAGTGTATTGAACGGAGCTGGAGAGGTAAGGTTTTAAACTGTGCGACTCTTTCGTAACAACAAGCAAAGTGGCAAATCCTTGAGTGATACCAATCCGGTCATGCAACGACCAAAATAGACAATCCATGAAGTGATCGAGGAGGACGTTGCATCATCCAACACACCAAAGAAAACCAAGCTAAGGAATAGGCAAGACAAATGCAATGATTTTGACATAATTATAAAAAATAGGCTTTTTCAAGGCTAAGGTAGGGCCTTGAGCATTAACCTCTAAAGCTTAAGTTAGAGATAATTTGGGTATTTAGTTTTAGAATTAAATCCATCTATATGAAACATGAAAGCTCACAAAATTTTGTGTCAATCGAAGACTATACGATGCTTTATGACAGCGTATGATTGTTTGCCTAAAGCATGTTCACACTTGTCAGATTTGAAATGGTTCAAAATGCACCTTAAAGGGAAGAATGATGTAAACTCTCCACCACCCCCAAGCCCTGTTTCCTAACTGAGCTAACCTGCGGCATATGCATGTGTCACAATGAAGGTGAACGTTGCTAGACGTGTGCTTCGTGTGACTTGCATTGAAGATGTTGTTTGAAGAATAGTATGTGAAACGCCCTATTTTCTTAGCCAAAATAGTGGCGTTACACAGACCGGCTTTAATCTCATAGGTTAAAGTTCATAATAAATAATTTTAAAATAAAATCGTTGGCTTATATATTGAATTTAACACAATAAATTAAACATAACATATTTTTTAATATAAAAAAAAAATCATTTAAAACACTTACCAACTACTAAATAAAATTCAATGGGTTCTATTGCTATATCATGCCCTATTCTGACTTCCATGATATTTCTAGCATTAACCATCATCCGAGCGTGGAGCTTTACCTTTACGTGGAAAGTATAAGGGTAGCACGTGGCTTGAGTATTTTACTAAATACTTAGTAAATCATCCGACGGTTCGGTTTAGCAATGCAATCACACACATAACATGATTGAGATCTATCTTAAAACCGTCACATGTGCTTAGACTATTTTCAGTTTCGAGCAAGGTGGGCTCATATACGTACCCCTCGGCCTAACATGTTCAGGCTTAATGGGTTACACGTCGCCAAATGCCACAGAAAAGGAAAGACCCCCATGATATCATGTGAAACATGTATATCGAAGGTACACACCCGTATTAACATAACATAACGGGGAAGTATCCCGATGCACATGACACACATACATGCATGAGATGCCCATGACTTACATTTAAAACATAGTATTAACGTTATTCCTTTTCTCATTTCGTCCATGATATATTCCGTACATGCACTATGTATACCTAGTAAACATCACATAGTCCATTACATTATTTTTCAATTCCATTCTTTCTTAGCATTTCATTTTATTCATAACATGATGTAATTGACATGACATTGTATACATAACAAAATGTCATATTTCAATGCATAAAGCACACAAGCATAACATAAAAAATATTATGGTGAATGTTGGGGCCACAAGGTTACTTACCTAATCCGCTTAAGCGGTTGTCACTAATTTACTTACCTGATTCTTTAAAGTAAAATTCAAGTCAACCTAGGTGAGCCCATGTCATCATATTCATGTTTGAATTTATGAAGAATTATTTATCTAATTTACAATGATCCATGTGTTAGATTTCATGCGAACTAATGCACCTTTGCAGCAGTAAAGTTTTGGAATGTTTATATATGTTTTTTATAATATTATTTTCATACAAATATTTATAGACCTTTGTTATAATATTATTTTCATACAACCCATTTAAAACGTTAACACTAAGATGTTTTTTGGTATTTAAATTCTAATAAATAAATAAAATAATATAAAAAAATAAAATATAAATAATTACAACAAAATAAAGATAAGAGAAGGAAGGTGTAAAATATAATTACGGTACTGGCAAATTATCAAGAGACATCTTTCTCGTTGAATCTGCAATATAAAATTGAATACTTTTAGATGTGAAAATAATTAATTTATTATTGTGATTAGTGTTTGACGAACACGACTCTCCACAATGGTATGATATTGTCCACTTTGAGCATAAGCTCTCAATGGAGAGTGTATTCTTAGATTATAAACCCATTACCATTCCCTAAATTAACCAATTTGGGACACCATTTCCTACATTAACGAATTTGGGACTCTTTCATCTAACAATTAGATCATTATGACTACAGTCAAAAAAAAAAAAAATGTTGGATGTGATATTTTTTTTCTAGTTAAAGTTTATTACAAATATTTTGCAAGTTTCAATATATACCCATAGCTAATTGAGAATATTCATTATCAATATTAGGTTGATTTATGATAATGACAATTAAAAAATAAGAAGCAAATAGAAAACATTGAAATCAACGTGGCTCATAGAGTATAAAGCATGTATTGTCTGCTAAAAATCGATTAAAATGTTGTTTTAATCCATCGCCAAACATATTGTTAAACTAAAAGAATTTGACATCTCTTTTATACATAAATTCATGTATTATCTTTAAATTCTTAAATACGCCTACTGAAATTTTAGTTTGTTTGGCCACTGTTGCCATGACTCAATGGCGGCCGAGGAACACTACGGCTTAAAGAAGTTACAAATGTATCAGTTGTCGGTGGCGGTAAATAAGGAGAAAACTGGGTGGATAACGGTAGACGGCAGAGCTTAATTGCACTTGTACAAAATTGTCAGAGAACAAAATTGAAACCTTACGAAATTACAAACATCCCATATTTCGATACAAAATCCTGTGTTTGAACTATGCTTAGTTTTGAATCATTATATCATGAATCACAAATTAAGAGTCATTCCAACATCTTAGAGGGTGTCTTTCTGTTCAAACCCTATTGGATGTCTTAAATACGACAACTAAAATCTTAGTTTGTTTGACCATCGCCGCCATGGCTCGGTGGCGGAGGAACACTTCAACTTAAAACAGTTATAAATGTATCAATTGTCGGTGGCTATAAAGGAGTATGAACTAGGTCGACCGTTGTTGATTGCAGAGCAAAGTCGCACTTCAACTTAAAGCAATTATAAATGTATCAATTGTCGGTGGCTATAAAGGAGTATGAACTAGGTCGACCGTTGTGGATTGCAGAGCAAAGTGTATAAAATTGTCGAAGAAAAAAATTGAAATCTTACAAAGTTAAGACCCTAGCTTATTTTTGTGGAGTTGAAATTTCCATTTTTCTGTCTTGATTCAACTTTGAACCACAAAATCCTATTATTATAAGATTATAATAATTTAATACATTATATTGATAATAATTTTTATAAAATATTGCACCAAAATGGTTCATAAAATAGAATGGCTTAAAAATGAAAAGTTCTTTTAATTTTATGTAAGAGACGTGAATTAATTATATTATAGAACTTGTTTATAATATAATATAGCATGCTGCTACTCGAATTCAAATCGAGATGCTCTAGTACAGCTTCCTAAGGAGCGTGTCTACCGATTTCACTATAATGACCTATTATTATTTACTTGTCTACCGATATTTTGTATCAATTTATTGATAAATTCATTGGTTATGGTATCACTTAGTAGTTTGTGAAGTCGTACTATAAAATATGTTTCATTAAATTTTAAAAATATCTTTAATTAAAATAAATAATTAGAGAAAAAAATGTAGGAAAATCATTTCATTTAAAAAAACAATATAGAAATAATGAATTTGCCTACAAAATAGTTGTTTGGCTTAAGTTTTTCTTTGTAAATAGCCAAAGAAACATCCATGCTTAACAATTACTCTCAAGCTTGTGTGCTACTTGGTGCAATGTTCGGGGTTTGAGCAACGCTTCCAATTGGTGCAATGGTCGGAGTTTGAGCAACGCTGCTTCCATCCGATGCAGCCTCTGGGGTTAGAGCAATACTACTTCCATCTGATGCAACGCTTCCAATTGGTGCAATGGTCGGGGTTTGAGCAACGCTGCTTCCAACCGATGCAGCCTCCGGGGTTAGAGCAATACTGCTTCCAATTGGTGCAATGGTCGGGGTTTGAGCAACGCTGCTTCCATCCGATGCAGCCTCCGGGGTTAGAGCAATGCTGCTTCCATCCGATGCAACGCTTCCAATTGGTGCTATGGTCGGGGTTAGAGCAATGCTGCTTCCATCCGATGCAACGCTTCCAATTGGTGCAATGGTCGGGGTTAGAGCAATGCTGCTTCCATCCGATGCAACGCTTCCAATTGGTGCAATGGTCGGGGTTTGAGCAATGCTGCTTCCATCCGATGCAGCCTCCGGGGTTAGAGCAATGCTGCTTCCATCCGCTGCAACGCTTCCAATTGGTGCAATGGTCGGGGTTAGAGCAATGCTGCTTCCATCCGATGCAACGCTTATAATTGGTGCAATGGTCGGGGTTCGAGCAATGCTGCTTCCATCCGATGCAACGCTTCCAATTGGTGCAATGGTCGGGGTCTGAGCAACGCCGCTTCCATCCAATGAAGCCTCCGGGGTCTGAGCAACGCCGCTTCCATCCAATGAAGCCTCCGGGGTCTGAGCAACGCCGCTTCCATCCAATGAAGCCTCCGGGGTCTGAGCAACGCCGCTTCCATCCAATGAAGCCTCCGGGGTTTGAGCAACGCTGTTTTCATCCAATGAAGCCTCCGGGGTTTGAGCAATGCTGCTTCCATCAGATGCAGCCTCCGGGGTTTGAGCAATGCTGCTTCCATCAGATGCTGCAGATGCTGCCTCCGGCGGGGTTAGAGCAACGCTGCTTCCATCTGATGCTGCCTCCGGCGGGGTTAGAGCAACGCTGCTTCCATCCGATGCTGCCTCCGGCGGGGTTAGAGCAACGCTGCTTCCATCCGATGCTGCCTCCGGCGGGGTTAGAGCAACGCTGCTTCCATCCGATGCTGCCTCCAGCGGGGTTAGAGCAACGCTGCTTCCATCCGATGCTGCCTCCGGCGGGGTTAGAGCAACGCTGCTTCCATCTGATGCTGCCTCCGGCGGGGTTAGAGCAACGCTGTTTCCTTCTGATGCTGCCTCCGGCGGGGTTAGAGCAACGCTGCTTCCTTCCGATGCTGCCTCCGACGGGGTTAGAGCAACGCTGCTTCCATCCGATGCAGCCTCC